TTTCAGGTAATTCAGTGCAGATTAATTCAGGGCATAGAAGTAATAAACCAGAATGAACAATTCCTCGAACTGTTTAGCCGGACTATGAACGTTTTGCGCGGTTGTTTTGACCGAACTCACAATGTCACTTGCAGGGTTTGAATAAATTATTTTTGCACTTAATGCGCGCGCTTTGCTTCTGCATAATCATAAGCTATCTCGTATTTTTTCATGCATATTATCAATAAGTAATCACATGATTTTTCTTGTGCAATTTGGAATAAATAAGCACTTGTAAATTTTGTAAAGAGTTTAAGAAGCGCATAACCACTCACGGCATATTCGACCCCCTCCCCGGCGAGGTCGTATCCCTCTCCCACTCCCCTCCCCCTGGCCACCTCTCTTCTTCTTGATTCAAAGCAACAGCATTAATTTGTTTTCACTTCCTGTTTGAAAAATTTGCCTTTTCAGCTCTCTTATGTTTTTCTGAACGCGCTGAAGCCCGATTCTATTTTTGGCACCTGATCGTTTCTTCGCGACACACGAAACAATAAGAATTATCTTTCGAGCACTCTGTCTAAAGCATATCTCTTTATGACCGGCTCGAGGTTGAAAGCGGATTAAAAAATCATGATAGATCAAGATTATTTTATTACATATCATACACTGTCAAATCGATTTAGGTCTTCCAAATCTTAGATCAAACAAAAAAAGGGAAAAAAAAGAGAGAATTTTATTTTAAAAGAAAAGATTATGATTACTAGACATCTCACTTACCAGCAATGAATGTCACCCAAAACTGCATCCCGAACCAAGTTCCAAACGAAATCAAATGAACCAGTCGAATCGTGGTTGTAAGCAAATGGCCTTTTTGGATTTCCTCAGAGATTCGCGATGACATGGAGACTATTACGCAAAGGAAACACAACCCTAATAAATTCAAACACACTTGAAAAGTCATCCTGAAATGTGGTGCTTTTTCTGTTTCCTTTTCGAGAAAACGGTTTTTCAGTTCACACGGTCGCGCTGTTTTGACGTTATTAGAGGAACTGATGCCTTTTTTATAGCAGAGGTCACGTGCAAATCAACATGATTTCAACATGTCACCACGTCATTCATTTTAACGTAAACAAACTAGTTGACAACAATTTCCTAATGTAATTATCACAGATTGCTCACTTACTTTCGGCGTCGGGAAAACCTTTGTTCTTTGAAATTGGAAGACATTTAGAGGTGAATAATTTAAGGTTGTTTGTCCACTTCTTTGGGATTTATGATTTTATTGGCCTTATTTGAAAACAGAACACATCTTAAGTCAAGCGGAACAAATCTTCTCATTTCGGCGAACGTGATCTAAGTCATCACAAATGAAAAATTTGTGAATTGTTTTCTTTTTAAATTCAGAGGCAAATGGTTAATTATATACGCAGCTGTTTATTTTATTTTAACCCTGTCTGGCCCATTTTGCGGGCCAGATTGGAGAAATATTTTAGCCCGTCGAAGGCGAGAATCAATCGATCATGCGATGCAAGAAGCTTATATACAAATGAGCTAGAGATAAACTCGGTCTTATCTTTCATGCCTTTTACGTTTGTTTAAAAATTCAAATGGAAAGATTTTGTAATTTCTAGCCAGCTTAGCTCAAGGGTATACTTTAACTGAAGGAAAATAAGGTAAAAATAAACTTTTTTCTAAATATAATTTATAACTGCGTGTTACAAACCGAAACGAAAACTGAAATAAAAAAGTAAAAAACTTAACTTGCATATTTTTGAATTTATGGGCAATTTTTTTTTCATTTGGGGTTTGAGAACAGTAACATGATTGAGCAGTTTCACAATATAGTGGTGTTGCTTCCCTTCACAAGGGAATCACGCCACGATTCAGGGAATTCAAATGATCCTGGAAACACTTGCTGACAATGTATTTAACGAAAACATCTGTAAAATTGGCCATATTTCCTGTCCGTGACAGCAATTATCTCGTTTATTTAACTGGACGATCAAAGAGACATTACATTCCGTAAAGCACAAGAAAGTAGCTCCAAATGTGTTTTAAAAGAAGGAACAGGATACGATTAAGAAAAACCTGCATCAAGCTGGCATTCCAAGACAGCTGAAGTTAGCATTTTTTTAAGAGTGAGTATTTATTGTAAATGGCATCGTTGCGGCTGTAATACTTATTCTAATTTTTATACACTTCCATTTAGTATTGGGAAGGAGAGATTTCTCTAACAATCAAAGTTCCTTTATGTTGGTGATCATTTCCTTTAATCTCATCATCTTGGTGAGTGATTCAGCAGTAAAACTGTAGGGAGATATAAGATGCTGGTCACTCTTAGGACCTCTCTGGATTTAAATGGTTAACTGTTTCTGAGAGAGCATAACCACTTCCTAAGAATCTCGCAGAATGCCTGTCATATCATTTAAAATCTCCTCTGTTTCCGTTATTGCTGATCATAATCAGAACAATTTTTTTTATCATTTTTGTTGTATGACGTTCCAAAGAACGGCTGCGTAGAGGGGCAGTTGGTTTTTTTAGTTCTGGGTGAAAACTATTTCACTCAATAAAGAGATCTCGTGCTGCTGAGCATCTGTTTAATAATAGATTACAGATGATTATTCAGCGTTAATTGATCTATCATTGAACATGTACGCACGATAACATTGAATCTGTTTGTTTTGTAATATATAGATTTAGCCAAGCCTAAAAGCGGAGCTCGCATTTTTTCTCCCGCACGTCCCAAGGGCACAACGCCTTGCCCCGGCCAGGACTTGACCCTTCGATTATGGGACAAAGCCGTGGAGTTGGCGTGCGATACAGTGGACCACGCAGATGATTGAACAATAGGATCATATTGTATATTTAAAATGAGAGAGACCAGAGCGCGAGAAAGAGAACGGTGAGAGAGAGAGGGAGATCAAGTTGATTTTATAAAATAAAACGTGAAGTTTCGGAACATAGCAGATTCTTTAGTCTCATTTCCGACACAGTGGCACCTCCGACGGGACGCGCGAAGCATGGAGGAACTAACCAAAGAAGCAGAGGCTAAATTGCAGATGTTGCTGTACACTAATGGAAAAACACGTGGCATTGTGGAAAAGGGAAACCTAGGAGCGGTCGCGCGACATCGCGACAACCTACAAGCATTAGTAAAAGAAGTAGACGCGCTTAAACTAAAGGTTGAACAGACCATGTTCAAGGCCGGGAAAAGTGCAGAAGACGTTGGAAGTTGGAGCAGTAGCATTGAAGAACCGATCGCCGAAGCTGACGAAGAAGTTTCGCGACTAGAAAAATGGCTCGTGGAGACGAATGGAGAGATCGAACATCGAAAGCACAAGGACGAAGAAGAAAGGAAAGCCCGTGCTCGTGAAGAGGAGCTTAAATTCGAAAGAGAGCAAATGGAGATGAAGCTAGAATTCGAACGCCAACTGGAAGAGACCAAGGCAAAACAGCAACCTGTTGAGAAGGTTAATCAGACTGAACAAAGGACAACAAAGCTACCGAAACTACAGATCACAAAGTTTAATGGGACGTATGAAGCATGGCTGCCGTTCTGGAACAAATTTCAAGCTGAAATTGATAAAGCAAGCCTTGCGTCTGTGACCAAGTTTGCATACCTAAAAGAGCTGGTAGATCCAAAGGTTCGAGCGGAGATAGACGGACTGCCTTTCACAACAGAGGGCTACGAAAGGGCAAAGAATATCCTCATCGGCGAATATGGGAAAACGAGCGAGATCGTGAATGCGTACGTCCAGAACATCGCGAATTTGCCTGTCATTACAGGAACACAACCTGCGCCTATCCACGAATTTTACAAGAAGCTCGTGTACAATGTGCAATCTTTGGAGACACTGGGCAAATTGAAAGACGTCACTGGAAATGTAAGGAGTGTGCTCGACAAACTAAAGGGTGTAAAAGCAGATCTAGTGAGAGGACAAGTGGACTGGCAGGACTGGGACTTCCCACAGTTGATAAAAGCTTTGAAAAGTTGGAAGGAAATCAACCCCATTGGGAACGGCGCGGATAATGCGGGGAAGCAAGGTGCTAAATTCCGCGATCGCGAGAAAACATTTCACGCAAACGAAACAACGCCAACACAAAGAGGGTGCGTCTACTGTGACGCAACTGACCACAGAGCTGTGAATTGCGACAAGTTTGTGACAGTTGGAGACCGCAGGAAACAATTAGGACTGAAACAGCTTTGTTTTAACTGCACAGGAAGTCGACACCGTGCTTCTGAGTGCAAATGCCGTTCTGGCTGCCAGATCTGCAGTCGAAGACATCATACGTCGATCTGTGACAAACATACATCGCGAGACCAGCTGATGACCACAACGAGCGCAGAAAGGAAAGGAGTGGTGTATCCTATGGTAACAGTTGACGTGAACGGTGTTAAATGCCGAGCATTGTTGGATACAGGAGCCGGAAGTTCCTACGCTTCATCAACGCTTCTGAACTGTTTACATTTGCGCCCTATCCGTCAACAATTCAAGCGCATTGAAATGATGTTTGGTACTTCAAACAAAGCGATAGACATCTATGGCCTACAAATTCGAAGCGTTGATGGTAAATTCACCTTGGAAGCCGAAGTAAACAAAGTCGACCGCAAAGAGTTGTTGACATTGGAAAACCCAAAATGCGCAGAAATCGTGGCTCAGTTTTCTCATTTGAAGGGCGTAACCACAAATGATAACGACGAGAAAGCGATGTTGCCTGTTCATCTGATCCTTGGAACAAACGAGTACGCTAAGATCAAAACAGGGGCAAGACCAAGAGTTGGGCGCTCGGGAGAACCAGTAGCAGAATACACGAAGTTCGGCTGGACGATCTTGTCACCTGGGACAGAGTTGGATCTCAGCAACATGTTGTTAACGCAGACCTCCGCAATTGATTACGAAGAATTGTGCAAGTTAGACGTCTTGGGGTTGAAGGACAATCCAAGTGGAGACCAGGAAACCGTTTACGAAGAATTCAAAGAGCAACTAACTAGGAGTTCAGAAGGCTGGTACGAGACGAACTTGCCCTGGAAAGGAAATCATCCCCCCTACCGAACAATCACACTGGAAGTTTAAAACGTCTCAAAAATCTCGTGCGGAAGTTAGAGATACAAGGCGAGCTGGAGAGGTACAACGACATTATCCAGACTCAACTGAGCCAAGGGATCGTAGAACACGCTGACGAGGTGGTCAAGGACGGAAAAGAGTTCTACATTCCTCATAAAGCGGTCGTGCGCGAGAATGCAGAATCTACAAAGATACGCATTGTTTATGATGCTTCTGCAAGAGCTAATGCAAGTGTCCCCTCACTCAACGAGTGCCTCGAAATCGGCCCTCCACTACAAAACCAGCTTTGGAACGTGCTGGTACGAAATAGGTTCTATCCCGTGGCAATAGCTGGCGACTTAAAACAAGCATTTTTGCAAATTCGCGTCCGAAGAGAAGACCGAGATGCCTTACGCTTTCATTGGATAAAGGATCTGGCAAGCAAACAAGTAGAAACCTTGCGATTCACTCGAGTACTCTTTGGTTTGGCACCGTCTCCATTCCTCTTGGCCGCAGTTATCAAAGAACATCTACAGCGATACAAAATGGTGAACCCGGAATTAGTAGAGGAGATAGAGCGCAGTATGTACGTGGATGATTTAATCAGTGGTGGGGAGACAACAGAACAAGCGTTAGAAATCAAGATGACAGCCACGACCATCTTTGGTGAGGCGACTTTCAAGCTGCACAAGTGGCATTCCAACGATCGGGAACTAGAAGTTGAAACTGCGACTGTAGATGAAGAAAGTCAGAGTTACGCCAAACAACAACTGGGAACCAGAAAGGGCGAATCAAAACTGCTAGGAGTCCCCTGGGACAAAGAAAAGGACGAAATTCAAGTCAGCTTCCCGATTTCAACCGCTGAGCCGACAAAAAGAGGTATTCTTGGAAAAGTCGCAAAAATCTACGATCCACTCGGTCTGGCTTCACCCGTGACCCTCTCCGGAAAAATGCTCTACAGAGACGCCTGCGACACGAAGATCGCGTGGGATAGGCCCCTACCAAGTGACTTACAAGCCAAATGGAAGAAATGGGAGCAAGGACTTCCAGAGCACGTGAACGCGCCAAGAAATGTCGTCAAGCATTCAGGGAAGATATTATCAATCGACTTACACACATTCGGGGACGCAAGCGGGAAAGGAGTTGCAGCCGCGGTTTATGCAGTGGTGGAGCAACCATCAGGCACGAATCGAGGCCTCGTGACGGCGAAGTCGCGGCTCGCGAAGAAAGGACTCACGATTCCCCGATTAGAACTAGTGGCTGGACATATGGCTGCGAACCTAGTACACAATGTGAAAGAAGTCCTGAAGGGTTTTCCCGTAAGAAGTGTCTATGGTTGGCTGGATAGCACAGTCGCACTGCATTGGATCCGTGGTAATGGCGAATACAAACAGTTCGTGGGAAATCGAGTGAGGAAGATCCAGGAAAAAGAAATCAACTGGAGGCATGTACTAACAGAGGAGAATCCAGTGGACGTGGGGAGTAGGGGAGGAGATATTAGTAGATTGACAGCTCTTTGGTGGCAGGGACCAAGCTGGTTAGCAAAACCACACGACTGGCCACCAGACCTTGTAACGACATCTACTCAAGAATCAAAAGCGGAAGAAGCGAAACAAACTCGCGAGTTGTTTGCTCTAGCAGTAGAGAAAACAGAGAACAACGACGCCTTCGATGCACTGCTGGAGAAGTACGAGCTGTGGCGTGTGTTGCGAGTGGGTGCTTGGATCTGGAGATTCCTCCACAACATAAGAACCGTCCGTAAACAGAGAATCGTTGGTCCCCTTACCACTGAAGAAATACAGAAACAGACAACGTTCTGGATCAAGCGATCTCAGCAACAAGCAAAGTCGAGCCAGAAATTTGAAGAAGACCGTTTACAGTTGAATGTGCAAGGAAACCAAGAGGGAATATTAGAATGTAGGGGAAGAATTCAAGGCCATTACCCCATCTTTCTGCCAGACTCCTCGCCCTTCACTCGCAAGTTAGTTCACCGATCACATGTCGACACACTGCACGGAGGAGTGGCCCTTACCATGACCAAAGTGCGAGAGCTATACTGGGTACCGCGTTTAAGGGCACTCGTAAAACAAGTTCTCAGAGCGTGTTCAGGCTGCAAGCGTTTTCAGGCCATGGCGCTGGCAACGCCGCCTCCCGGACTTCTACCCACTGACCGCACAGAGGGGAGCACCCCATTTGAGGTTATCGGAGTCGATTTTGCAGGGCCCATCAAGTACCGTATCAGAGCCAAAACAGAAGGAAAGGCCTATCTTGCATTGTACGCGTGCAGTCTTACCCGAGGATTATTCCTAAGTACTACCAAACCTGGCAACCAGTGAATTCCTAAGAAGTCTAAAACGGCTCATCGCGCGCCGTGGGCGTCCGAAGAAGATATATTCCGACAATGGCAAAACCTTTGTTGGCGCCGAGAAGTGGCTCAAACAAGTTATGCGTGACGAGAAGACACAAGATTACTTAGCACATGAGAACATCAAGTGGCAATTCAACCTCAGCCGCGCCGCTTGGTGGGGAGGACAGTTCGAGCGCCTCATCGCACTGGTAAAAACAGCTTTAAACAAGACTATCGGATGCGGAATGTTGACCTGGACAGAGCTGTGTGAAGTGGTACTGGATGTGGAGATTGCTTTGAATAATCGCCCTTTATGTTACGTCGAAGACGACATACAGTTACCCGTGCTTACCCCTAACTCACTGCTATTTCTTCGATCAAACCAGCTACCAGAACTGGAACCACACCATCTAAGAGAATTTGATCTGCGTAGAAGAGCTAAATATTTGCGAAGGTGCAAGCAGGCTTTGTGGACCAGGTGGACTACCGAATATTTACGAGGGTTGAGAGAACGACACCGGATGAAACACAAGGGTCAAACCACGCCCTTGGCCAAAGGAGAGGTAGTCATCATCAAGGACGAGGAACGAAATCGCAATAAATGGAAAATTGGAATCGTGGAAGATCTGATTTCGGGACGAGACGGAATCGTTCGAGCTGCCAAACTTCGAGCGGGGAAAGGAACACTTGAACGGGCGGTACAACACCTTTACCCACTGGAGCTGTCCTGCGATCGGGAGAATGTACAGGCTCCTCTGCAGCTCAACCCCTTAGCCCCGACATTCAGGCCCAGGAGGGATGCAGCGGTAGCCGCTCGTTATCGCATTCAAGATGCGAACATTGATGCCGATTAGAGATATTTAGGAACACTGAACTGATATACTGGACTAACTTTCTGTTTCGTTCATTGAATTTCAAATTTTATCGAGCGCGCCATTCTAGTGTTTTTCTCCGTTGAGAAAAACAGGGGAGTGTGTGAGAGATTATTCAGCGTTAATTGATTTCCGGTTGATTTTTTGCGATAAGTGACAGATGATTGAACAATAGGATCATATTATATATTTAAAATGAGAGAGACCAGAGAAAAAAGACAGAGAACGGTGAGACGAGAGAGAGGGAGGTTAAGTTGATTTTATAAAATAAAACGTGAAGTTTCGGAACATAGCAGATTCTTTAGTCTCATTTCCGACACCTCGAACTGTTTAGCCGGACTATGAACGTTTTGCGCGGTTGTTTTGACCAAACTCACAATGTCACTTGCAGGGTTTGAATAAATTATTTTTGCACTTAATGCGCGCGCTTTGCTTCTGCATAATCATAAGCTATTTCGTATTTTTTCATGCATATTATTAATAAGTAATCACATGATTTTTCTTGTGCAATTTGGAATAAATAAGCACTTGTAAATTTTGTTAGTCTTTGAAAAAATTTACTCGTGCTTATTAATTCCAAATTGCACTCGAAATTATTTGATTACTAATACGAAACAAAGACGTCCTGTGCCTCCCGAATGATGGCAAATGAAGACCGATTTGTTGAACAGTTTGTTGAATTGCATTCTTCATATATATAGGTGAAAGAGAAGATGTCTCAAAATATTTGAATCGGTGTTCAAAAGTTAAACACGATTTAAAATTTAAACCTATGAGTGTATTTTTTGCAAAAGGCTAACCACAAAAACTGAGCCTCGAACTTTCCTTAGCGGGATAAAATCGAGGCGGGAGGTTGGATACCACTTAAAAACGGATTAATCACCGAATTTATTTTTTGATAACTCTGCATTGGGTCGTATCCAAATAAATTACCTTGAAAATGACTCTTCTTGCTATCATTTTATTATTTTGCGGTTAAACCGCGCAATTTCTCCGCTTTAATCTCCATATTTTGCGTTCAAAGTTAAAGTTATCATAATTTTGACACTCTGGCCCAGACCGTGTCCTCATTAATTCTTATTTTCTGCAGAAACACGTTAACTGACGGTATAAGGTTCTAAGGTCATTGGACTTTTACCTAAAAGTTTCCTCGTTTTTACCCGTTTATCAAAACTAAGCGTGCGTCAGTTATAATTGAGTTTTTCCGCGTTCAAAACTTTGACAATCCTTCTATAATTTTCACAATCTTTCTGTACAGTTTCTTTCATTCCCCTCGCCAAATAAAAACAGGCTAACATGAATCAAAATTTTCTATTTTCATTGTTCCCGAATACTTAAATTGTCAGCTATGTCCATTTGGTAAAAATAAAGCTTGATTTCTCACTAATAAATACATTTTGTATATTTACATGGCGGTCGCAAAATTGACCTAGCTACTCGAGAATGCATTACCATTGTTTTAATGCCTCATCTTGACTTATCTTGAATGAAGTGTTCGATAACATTTCTTCTCTTACGTACGTAACTGAAAGGAAATGCCATTTTGGCAATCAGATTTTAAGTTTGAGGGCTTGGCTCTGAAAAACGGTTGTGTTGCTATTGAGTGAAACGCACCTCATAAATTCACAACATCAGAGTCAGAAATCCTCTTATCATGGCAACTTCGGTAAAGTTTTTGTATGCCTTCCGCCTGGTCGAAATTTAATTTGACCACTTGAAACAGATGAAACGGACGTAAAGGTTACTTCTTAGAAAAGAGGATTTCGAGAAATCAGTTAAAAGACCGAAAGAAAACACACATGATTTCCGGCTTGCATATCGTTCCGTCGAGGAGATTAAACTTACTTACAAATTTTCACGTCGACCTTGTCAGAAAATATCGCTCTGTAGAAATGACAACAACATTTGTATTCCTTATCACAGATTTACGAAAGACGAGACCAAGGTTAAGAGTGTTTGAATTTGATCAATTATTATCCAGAGGCATCCGTAGAACTAAATATGCTCTGTAAAAGATCAGCGTTCGGCTCCTGTAAGCATCTTGAAGAGGCAATCAGCGGACTTCGTACTCACTCTGGGGCAATTTTTAACAGAATACCAAGCAGTGGAAACGCTTTGTTTAAAAGTACACAACCAAACGATAAGAAGACTACAAGTCATTTAGTGGAATTTGATTATAACATAGCTTGAAAATTTGAGTTGCTATGTACACAAGGGTGGCGTGGAGAAATCTCTTTAAGAACAACTGCGTTGGAAATATCACAGGTGTTTCATACGTTTGCTGAGTTCATCGACATGTGAAGCATTTGAACAGTTGATACAGAACCTAAGTAGCTAGAGTTGCTCTCAGCTGTGTCTCGAGCAACCCTTACGGATCTTTTTTTCTTTCCAAACTTCCCACCTGTTCCATACATCGATAACTGCATGCTGACGCATGAACTTACGGGCGAGGTGACCGCACGCACAACGTTTGGGTCATGAACTTAAATACCGCGTTTACTACGTGCAAGAATGGGCCTTAGTTGTATTGCTAGCCCTTTCCCGATATGCAGAAGGTCAGCGTAAACCATTTGAATGAGTCTCGGAATTTTCTTCGCATTCTTGTTTCGAGCGATCTACCCAACCATGGGCTCCTGAAGGAAATCCCAATTTTCTCCCATATTTCTCAAGTTTCTTTTCTTCTCTCTTTCCAAATTTCACCGAGATCTTTTTGAGCCTCTCTCCTTCCTTCCCTATTTCCCTATGGTGAGTTCTTCATACCCCCTTTCGATTCCCTAGGGTCCCTTTTCTTTCTCTCTCCCTTCGGCGCCCCCGATTCATTCACCCCTCCCCTCAAAGTTCGTTATTCTTCCCCCTTTCCCCCCCAAAATCTCATGGGTCCCTTCTCTCTTACCCTCCCATTTCGGCTCTGTCGATTCATTCCCCCCGAAGTTCTTTATTGCCCCCTTCCCCAGTTCCCTAGGGTTAGAAAATAAAATATCTCCTTGGGGTCCTCGGAGTTATTTATCTCCCCCACTTAATTCCTTAGATTCCTTTCCCTCTCCCCCTTCGGAGCCGCCAATTCCGTCACCCTTTCCGTCACCCTTTCCCTCAGAGTTTTTTAATCATCCCCCTCAAATTCCTTAGGGTTCTTTCTTTCTCTCCCTCTCCCCCCTTGGGCACTTCCGGTTCTGTCACCCTTTCTCGCAGCTCTTCTTTTCCCAACTTCACGGCAGCGTAAAATATTAATCCAACCAGCAATTTGTTTAAAATCCTTAATAACATGTTTATTATAAATACAAATTTTTCGAATTAAAACTAATTTCTTTGCATGCAATGAAAGCAAAGATACCTTGCAGCACAGCAAAATATGGTTCTTGTTGAGTATCTCGTGACAGATTTAACACTAAAATACTTTTATTCTTTCAAAGTAGATTTTACAAGTAAATCTCAACACATTGTAAATTTACACTCCTTTTTATAACAACAATTAAAAGCTAGGACTTGACGTAATAAGCTAACTAGAATGCTTTCACAAATCAATAATATTCCAATATTCTAGTGCCTGGTGAAAAATCAGACAGCCGCTTAACAGACTTCTTGTGAGGTAAGCATTTTGAAGAGCAACGCACGTGAGGCGCGATTCCTTGTGAGTCGTGTCACAGGCGCGCAGCACGTGACTCTGGCTAAGACGGCGCTCAGAGGACTTGTTTGGTAGCGTACAGAGGAGCTCAGGTAAGCTAGAGTTTTACACAGGGTAATTTAGTATTATCAACTGAGTTGAAAACGTAGATTGGCCACCGAAAAGAGTTTCAAAGCTGATGTTTCGCGCGTTAGCTCTTCGTCAGAGCGAAAGGGGAGAGGCGTTGTGCGCTCTGTTGAAGGGCGAATGCTCGAAACGCCAGCTATGAAACACTTTACGGTGGCCAAAATGTTACTAACTCAGTTGATAATACTAAATTACCCTGTTATACTCTCCTACCGACGCAGCATCACGGTTTCCTTAGAAACTTACCCACTTTATTCATTCGACTTTAACACAGCTGGGTTGAATATCTATTGATCATTGCAACAGCTGGCGTAAAGCAGGTAATTTTAAGAAATAGCGACTAAAAAAAACCGTAAATAATCAATCCTTCAATTCCAAAGATCTAATCGTCAACTCTCCCCTCTAGCAGCAACACATTTCCTTGTAAATCATTTAAGAGAGTTCGGTGTTAGATCGAAGAAAACTACAACCTGATAAGTTTGAGGATTCTCATTACCTATTTTCTAGACGACATTAGGACACTATGGAGAGAAGTTACGTGTTGATCACTTCTTGGAGTTAAGGGTTTTAATTAAATCAACACTAGCGATCCTTTCCCTAACTGTAACTGGAAAAAAAACTAAAAAAAAGCAAAAGAAATTCTGGAGCATAACACCTCTTTTAGAGCTGCTTTGAGCAGCTTGGCTCAATCTTCAATACCTCAGTACTTGTTTACCCGACGTAAGTAAACGTTGCTTCGTCTTAAAATCCTGCTCCGGTTGTTTCCGCTAATCTGACGCGCACAATAGCTTGTCACGCATACCATTGCTGCGTGACAACGAAAATAACGACTGCAATGGCAACTACGAGGTAACAACATCACCGAGCAAGCAACCTTATTGAACTCGTACTTAATAGGAATTTTTTTTCCTACCGCAAAGAATTTGCCTGTTTTTCTCAAACGCCTTGACAAGTACACAGCCGATGACGATGCTTCCTTCAAGGCATACAGTATTTTATATCATTTCCAACTTAGCCTTCGTTAATTTTCTTCGCCAAGCTCTTATTAACCAAGACATCGGCAATAAGCACGTCTTCGTTTCCTTCTGAGGTGTCATAAAGCTCGAGTGACACTTTAGTTTCTTCGTTTGTCAACCGGCTACGATTAGCCACCAGGCCTCTTGGTTTAGCTACTAACTTCTTGTCAGCGGTCAATTCTCCAAACAGGTCGATGGCCTCCTGTGACCAACGTGCTAAGTCCTCTCCTACTGGCTCCACCCCTACACGGGTAAAATAAACGGCTCATCATACCCAGACTCTTTACACTCCTCACCATGAAAAGTTAGGGGCTGATCATAATCTCTCACCTTAGGAAAGGGGGGTAGAGTCAAAGGATTTTGGTTGTGTCACGATAAAAATTTACTGTCCCCCCCATTAGGTTTTGTAACGGTCTTATGAACCCCCTCATTAACAGTTAATTAGCATTCAATGTTCGCCCCCCCCCAGTCTTACTCTGTCGGTGACGACTACTCCCCCCTCCGTTACCCCTAAAAACCATGTGATTCCCCCCCCCCCCAAACTCGTCGCCAGTCGCTTAGAGTGCTAAAAACGTGATAAGGATGCAAAGAAGAGTCCCAGCAATCTGTGCAGTCGCTGGGCAGCAAAACTGATCACGCGATTAACATTCTATTAAATTTTTTCTTACTCAAAAGCATCTCTTCTTCAACAATATGTGCATTGGCCACAAAAGTAAACTCTTCGGCAGAGACAGTCAATGTCGTTGTGATCTTCCAACAGTCAGCGTTTTTGGTAACTTAGAAAAGGACGGGGAAACACGAGCGAGGTTACAACGCAAACACGAATATGCCATGTGCATCTCCTCTCTTCTCCTCCAATCGCTCTGACGAAGGGCTAACGATTGAAATGTCAGCCTTTAAACTCTTTACGGTGGCCAATTTACGTTTTTAACTCAGTTGATAATACTAAATTACCCTGTTATACTCTCCCACCGACGCAGCACCACAGTTTCCTTAGAAACTTACCCCCTCTATTCATCTAAAAATTGTAGTCATTTACATACCGTGTAGGCAACCTTGAATAGCCATGGGCGGAAGCTCTCTGAACTCGTCTGGTAAAGCTTGTAAATTGGTGAATGACACCAGACCAAAGTCTCCATAATCAGCAAAACGTACGCAAGTCTGGCAACAGGAATTAATGTAAACGAGCAAACAAACAATGTTTATATTAACGCCAAGGGATAGAGACGAGGTCTAGAAAAGAACAAACAAACTTGCTAATCCATTATTGTTGTAAAGACCACGGTAAACTGACCTGTTGGGGGGAGAATGAAGTATTGACCACTGCTCTGTACCACATGTCATCCTCGACATGATAAACTGCACAGAAAACACCTGGCCTGATATCTCTGAAAGGAGTTCGGCTTCTACCCTATGAAGGGAATACGAAATTTTAAAACACTTCAAATAAAGCTCTCCGCTTAAAAACGTGCCTGAAAAGATAACACCTTATTAGCTTCTTCTAAAAATAACCTTCATTTATCCTTAAGAAGTTTCGTTGCAGTTATTTTTTGGTGTGAGCGCACTAAAAATTCATGGAGTGGACCTACTGATCATGCGCGAACGAGTCGCACATGACTCGTAATCCTCTCCTGTGAGAAATTGAGTGAACTGTCACCACTTACTGTGTAGTATTTCTGCATTTTCTCTTCAAGCTCCTCCTTCTGTTGTAGGAGCTCCAAACACTGAAACTATAATGATACAAAAAAACATTACAAACAACAACAATTTATTCCAGCATCATCAAGCAAAGACACGGTATTCTGCGTCTATCAATCCGAAGCTTCAACATCTCCCTTCCCCAACAACTCCCCAGACATTTGAACTTTTGAAGACTGGTTATGTGTTATTGTACATCTATATTGACACAGGGTACCCATGCTCTCACCACAAACGTGCTGGGGTCAATAGCCTCCAGTATACAAATGTCCACCCACGGTTTGAAGAGGAGTGCTGTGGTCATGTTGCCATCATCTACTGGCCTACAGGCCTCTGTGGAGCTCTCTGACGTCACGCTGTCTTTGTCATCATCATTATATTCCAAAGCAGTGCTGTGAATTCTGATAAAAAAAAAAAAACTAAAGAAATTGAGTGCGCATTGAAAGGTAACGACAACTTTTTTTAATCACTTTGACACGACCATGGGAGAAGAAAATCTTTAGATTCCATTCTCTACCACTGAGCTAAAGAGAATTTGAAGGTACGCTTAACCATAAATAAGTTCATATGAAACGCGCATTTTTTATCTTTAGTAATTCACCTCAATGTCTGCCATACAATTCTAATGATATTAGTTCGGAAAATTTTGTATTAGATCAACTAATAATTCCCTAATGGACATTTTTCGTTATTCTCATCACTTGTCTGCCTGATATTGTATTGATATTGTAGGGAGAAATTCTCTCTTGGTCACTCGAGGGAGTTAAAGGGTTTACAGCACTTCTGAGAGGGTGAACCTCAAATTGCCAAGAAAAGGAGACGAGCGTAAGACCGAGGACCTTTGAAATCAAGTCTTACATAAACATATTTTTACATGATAGGCTGTATTGTCCATGCATTTTGATTCGTTTTCACTAATGATCTCTTGGAGGAAAGACGCATAGACGTCACCGTTAACAACATTTTGCTTCTCAGAGAGAGAGATGTTTTTCGTCTTTTCACGAGCGTGGGACAAAGAAAAAAAAGTCCCCATAAGGAATTGAACCTCAGACCTTTGGATTCCGCGCTCCGATGCTCTACCACTGAGCCACAGAGACTCTACGGTGAGCGAGGTCTGTTACAAAGTTCACATAACACGCGTCCTGCATACTGCTAGGATCAGCAATGTCGATAGCGTCATGTTTAGGAATGGAATAAGAGAGATAGTAAGTTTTGAGCTTGGTAAAGAAATAGAGAAAGATGTTTTTCGTCTTGTCACGAGCGTGGCGTGCTTCTTATCATTTAACACAAATAGATTCCGTGGGTCTATACAGTAAGAGATCACAGAGGGCGTCAAAATGCGGAAGGAACATCAGTGATACACACAGTTGAGCCTTGTGTGCCATTTTTTTTCTTATCAAATTTTGACGTCGTCTGTGATAACTTATGAAACGGCAACATAGAATCTAATTGATACATTTTAAAACCAAGTCCCACATACCCAGCAGCAGCTGCTTCATCGTGTGTTTCTTTCCGTTCTTCTGTCTCTAATCCCAACACCTCTCCCACGTTTACTAAGGCATCTTCCTCATTCTCAGAAGAAATAAAAAGCCTCACCAAAGGAACGTCTGCCATCTGAACAACCTGAAAAAGAAACAGATACAGTAGCAACCAGTTAAATTTTTAAATTTCACGGAAGAAGTCACAATGTCGCGATGACGAGATAAACACTTGATTGCACTCACAAGCACAATTCAGCCACAGAAATAAACTTAACTATGCTAATTTGGTTTTAGCAACAGACTTGACAACAGACTTGCTAACTTAAACTGGCCTCCGTAATGAGTTTCCAAGCAGACGTTTCGAGCGTTAGTCCTTCATCAGAGCGAAGAGAATCTTAACTTTGTTCGGCTCCAGTCTCCGACAGAGGTAAGTAAGACCTGGGTGGTTAATTGTGTTTCTGGGTAAAGTCATAATATCGCCCCTCTCCACCCATGGGTAAATACGTCTCCAGTCCCCACGGCGAGTCAAAGTACAAACAACGAGTGCAATTGGTATCAGAATAAATTTTCATTCGCTTGAAAGAATGGTAATCGTGCCTACCATCATGAAAGAGATTTATTTGAAATATCTGTGATTCTTAAGTTCTAACCTCAAGTAATACATCCCTCTCAATGATCGTCTCAGCCTGTTCCTCTGTCAGGCCCTGCTACAAAAAATAAAAAGAACATTCAGTCAGGCAGGTCTAAGGAAAGAATAGAAAGTAGTTACCAGTCATGCCTTTTACCCCAGCGAGTTTTAAGACACTACTCTAAAGAATGCAAAGGAGAAAGAGTATAATATTTAACGCATACATGGAGTACCTTGTCAGTTCCTTCCAGCTTGCATTCTAACGCCTTTATGACAGATAAAAAAATAGATTCAAAAACACACTCCATAAATAAGTTCTCTTATCATATACAATACTACGTAAATTGCAAAAGAAGGACATTTTAAAATACCACCCCTTCTTCAAGTTTTAATTTTAATGAAGCTGCTTACTTAGAGGTAAGCTAAAATGAAAGAAATCACTGCAACAATGACAAAGGGCTGGCAGAAATACAAGAAGGAAGTTGGATGAGGAGGAAGAGGAAGGAAAGAGAGCGAGAGGGAACACAAGAAGGTGTGCGGGTGGGGTACCTCAAAGGGAAGACAGCGAGGTGGGAAACAAAAGGTAAGTTAGGGAGGGGTACCTGTGAGGGAAGAGAGAAAGAGAGGGGGGGAGGGGAAAGGGCGCACACGGACACAATGAGACAGGTGGAGTGGGTACCTGTCAGGGGAGAGGGTGAGGGAGGGAAACAAAAAGACAAGTAGAGAGGGGTACTGGTACGGGAAGAGAGCAGCAAGGGAGGGACACAATAAGGCACGAGGGTGGGGTACCTTAAAGAGAACACAGTGAGGTGAGAAACAAAAAGACAATTAGGGAGGGGTACCTGTAAGGGAAGAGAGCAAGGGGGGAATGGAACACAACAAGTGGAGTGGGGCACTCGTAAGAAGAGAGAGTGAGGGTAGGTGAGGACAAGTAGGGAGGGGTACCCGTCAGGGAAGAGAGCAGCAAGTGAGAGACACAATAAGACATGGGGGTGGGGTAGCTGAAAGGGGAGAGAGTGATTGGGGGAGACACGATAAGACATGGGGGTGGGGTAGCTGAAAGGGGAGAGAGTGAGGGGGGGGGGAGAGAGCACGGCACAAAGAGACAAGTGGGGTGGATTACCTGGAAAGGAAGAGAGTTGACATGACTTATGGCTCTTGTTGGTTCACGCAGACTTGCTAGTGGAAGTGCTTCTATGTTTCCAAAGTCGACATACTGTACTTCGACCTTTAACATATTACAAACAAACCACAGTTACAACCAAACACAATTAATGTCAGCTCTAATATCTCAGTGATGTTCAAAAAGTTTTCTGTGTCTACGTCACCTTCTCACAGAAAAACAAAGTTTAGAACTCTAATGAAATAAATGATCTGAGCCTCTGTGAAACAAAGAACCCAACCTCGTAAGATAGAGCACTCAGCCCAAATGTACACCCTAACATCAGTGTGCATATTCTCCATACTGTTCTCTAAACATTTCCTAAGGTGCTGACAAGGAGAATTTGTTTAACAATCAAGAGCTGCTTGAGTTCGTGATGATTTCCTTAATTCTCATGATCACAGAGTGTGATTCAGGGGTGACATTGCAAGGAGAAATTAGATGCTTGTCACTCTCAGGGTGATTCTTCAAGTGTGACTCATCCCAATTGAGACAAACAATGTTTTAAAAACTTGTCATGAATTTTAATATCGTCAATGTATAACTTATCATTTGGAACATGTCATCATCACTCTCTATAGAAGAAATACCTGTCTGTCTGGCAATACATTTGTCACTATGGCTCTGTACCAGACCCCATCTGAACATTTCGCACAGCACATTTTGTTTTTGTGGGGACTGGATACAAACTCAGCAGCCTTTGTTGGCTGAAAATCAATCAGAAATAAACACAATGATTACATTCCTACTTCTCCTAACTATTGGCAATACATTATCCAGAAAATAGCTAATGAGAAGAGATACCCTAATCAGTAGGAGGGTGTCATCAAATATTCTTACTTAACTTACTAAACAAAGGTTGAGAATGTTTATTATTTTGAAAAGTCACATTAACATGTTGAGGCAAAAGTATTCCAACAAAATCACTTTATTTTGATACTCATGTAACACTGGGCTAAAAAAAATATGTATATATATATATATACACCTTATTCAATGGTTTAATTTATAACATGGGCAGATATTTTGCAAGTTGCACACTATGTTTCCAAGCCTTGCATAGGCAGAGAAAAATGAGAGCAATGTGCAAAAGATCTGCCCTTGTTATGTGTTAAACCATTGAATAATGGATACATCCATAATTATTTCAATCTCTACATTCTATGATCCATTTAAGCATAGTATTGATCAAAACCGGCCTGCATGAAAGACAAAAACAGCAAAAGCAAAACCACTGAATTTTTTTTTACCTAACAAAAAAATTCTGATGGACTTTAAAGTTCATTGCTCTTTAAGTCAAGCCTAAAATAAGGAATGTAGCCAAATGTGGATCCTGTAGTGCAGCCATTTTGTTCTTCCACTTTCCATCCATATTTTTGCCATGCCCTACCATGCAATACTGTAGCATATTTTTCAAGTTCCATTGCCCTTATATGTGAAAATAGCATAATAGTGGAATACTAATTCTAAATCAAATTTACCTGTGAGTAATGTTCAGCAATGTCTTCCATAAGTTCATTCAACCTTGTAGTGCCCCCCCCAGGAATCTGTATGAACACATGACCCTCTGGTGTAACGTAAGTCACAAGTGCTTCAATTTGCTCACCAACCTAACAAAACAGAAAAATAATCCATGTCACTATATAGCATGGTAGTCCTCTGGTAAATCCTTGCTTGGGCATTCTGATTATTTCTTACTTGGTGTGTATTTTGCCATACAGACTGTTTCCACAGAAATGGCCACAAGCCATGTATTTTTGGTGGCAGAAGCTGGCAAATTCGAAGTAAACATGTTTGGTCCAATTGCCATATAATGATTAAAACTGCTTCCCTTCCTTTGGGTTTTGGTTGTTTTTGTATAGACCAAGTGCAGCAAGATCCTTATTGGATAATGCAATTGAAGAGTTTTAATTAGCTCAGCCTTCATGAGTTATGAGTCATTATACCATGCGCATGCATGAAAATGAGTTAAACCAGAAGTGTTTTTGTACAATGTAACATTCTGTTTGCTCTCACAAAATAAAGTTGGGAAGATTTATCTATACTTTGAGAGGTTTTTAATAAAACAATTATTTCACCTATGCTTGTTGGAAATACTACTGGAATAATTGTTAATAATGGGTTTACCCTGAACAATTACTATAAAAGCATAACTTAGCGCCCCTCACTGAAATTTTCTTATTTTTAACATAACATTTCTATAAGTCCTCCTCTTTGATACTGTTACAGCTGTTACCTTGGGAAGGACTGGAGCCATATCCACATCTGGAATGACCAACCGCTGTAACATTGCATTGATGTTGATATCAACTTCGGAAGAAGTGTCATATAATTCTACTGATGCTGTATTTCCATCCCTACAGACACAAGAAAGAAAATGTTTAATGCATTACACAAACAAAATCCATTTCAGCTTGATAACTGAAGCTGAATTATACATGCATTTTGATTGGTTGTTACTCATGATCTATCGGAGGACAGATGCTCAGATGACATCACCATTAACAATTTATAATATAGCTTTACAAAAGTGCACCCTTTGATTGGCTAATATGCTCAATCCATTTGCCCGTGGGTTGCATGCTGACATCAGTCTGTTTTGCAGTGCTGAAAGACTTCACTAACCCTTACACTTAAACTGTACGTGCAGTGCACAAGTTCATACCTTTGTATAACTTGGGCCACAATATCTTTGTTGAGTGTCATGTGTTTCACTTTCAACAGAACTTCATCATTCTTTGTTTTAGGCAGTCCATGGAGGCTAACAGTGCAAGCCTTGGAAAAAAACAATGTGATGAGACTCAGTAGGTAGGTCTAGTGGTAAAAAAACCACTGTTCACAAACAGACAAATTCTTACAGAAGAATTCAGCACAAAAAGAGTTTGAAGGTAACCTTACACATCAAGTAATTTTGAGATCATAGTGCTTAACTCCTCAACTCCCATGAGTGACCAAAACATGATTTTTTCCTTACAATATTAATTCAATGTCAACCAAATGAGCAATAAGAATAAAGAAAAATATCAATTTGGGAATAATTAGTTGATACAAAACTAAATTCTCTGAACTAACTTTATAAGAATTGTACAGTTGACAGTCAGAGAATTACAAATTTGATCCGGGAGTTTAAGGGTTAACCTGATTAGAACAATGTAGTCTACAGGATTAATCTCAATCCAGTATGTTTTGTTAACCTTTTAAATCCCATTGGAGACCGAGACAATGTTTTTCTCCCTACAATATCAATACAATGTCAAGCAGACAAGTCAGATGAGAATGAGGAAAAAATATAATTGGCTAACATGACAAGAATTATGTGTCAGAAAGCAGGGAGAATTACCAACGAGATCACAGGAGTGAAAGGGTTAACACTTGTCAGCTGGACGATGATTTATCCATTGGAGAGTGAGTTCTGCCCTTTAAACAACAGGGTCTTGTTGTTTTAGTCCTTTACTTACTTAAAACAGAAAAAAAATTGACAAACTACGACAAAAATAATATCAGAAAAGTGGCATTATTTACTGTCCCAAAGAGAGTCTGCTTTTAAATCCAGCAACCAAGTTCCTGTAGTGCATTGAGCTCTGTTATATAAATATTGTCTGGCAAAATAAAACCACAACCAGAAGAACTTATCACAAACCTGGAAGGGTAATTCCAAAAATCTGGAAGGAATACTTCGTAAGCTAGATATTGGTATCACTCCTTTGTCCCCGTAGTCCATGTATTCAATATGAGCCTTGTCTCCCTTTACTTTAAGAACCTTGACCCTATACCAAAGACCATCTGAATGGATATCCTGTGAATATACTGCATATATGCTTCCAGGGATGGCTTTAACTGGTGCTAAATCAAACAAAATGTAAACCAGAGGACAGGCTAAAAGTTTAAGATAAGTTTTCACAATTGTTCTTTTTAATCACTTTTTTTTGGCCACCGTAGAACTATAAATACTGTATTTAATGTGTAGGAGCGAAAAGGAGAGAGAGGTCAAAGCAAAGAAACCATGGAGCTTATAGAGTATGGGCTTTCTTATCTTGTAAAAAAATGGAGCAACAATGGCAAAATTGGTGAAATAATGTAATGAAAATAAAGAACCAAAGAAAGAAAGAAAGCAAAGCAAAAAAAAAAATTAAGGAATCAATGGAAAACAAAATCTAAGTGAGAAGGTATTTTTTTTCAATTTGTTTTTCAAACTTGTCGCACTCTATGTATTTTGAATGTCTTGGGAAAACTCAACTGACAATTGAAGGCTGCAATTGATTTTGGTTTGCATCTGATTGATTAAGACAGAGCCATTTTCGACTGAGTGTCCAAGGTAATGCAAGATTGTAATAGTTTTGCTTTATTTCACTATGTGATTAATCCAGAACACTTAGGCCACTCTCTCAACCAATCAGAAACTAAATACCTGTAAAAACCAATCACAACCCAGTCACCCATGTTTTCCCGTGCTTTGGGAAGTTTGCTTGGTTTCACTCTGAATTCTAATTGGTTCGCATGAGTGTTTCCTCTCTTCCGATTGGTCATTGTGATTACTTTACAACTCTCAATCAAGAAGCTCTCTGGTGGCATGAATTTCCTAAACCAGTCACAACCGGCAAAGGTGAACCACTGCAATCCTGAATTGCTTTTGCCAGTTAACTAATAATTGCTCCTCTGCTTATATTCTTTGTTAAGGCTTGGCACAATAAATTTTCACAAAAAAGGAATGTTTTTGCTAACCTTCAGCTGTTGAATCGTCATAGTGGCATGACATACTCTGTTCCAAAGCAAGTAGTTTCTCCTGAATGACAGAAATTGAAAGAAATACAGATCAACAAAATTATGACCAATTATAAGGAAAAGGGCATGAAAGTTTTTTTTCCTTAAAAGGGAATTCATTTACAACAGTTGTGAAAATTAACCCTTTACACCCTAACATCAGTATGCATATTCTCCATACTGTTCTCTATACATTTCTTAAAGTGCCGACAAGGAGAGCAAGAAGTGCTAACCAAGAAGAGCTTTTGAAAAACAACTAATCACAGCAGAGCATCATGCTTATAAGATCACACATGACCAGTTGACCTCATCGCTGGAAGAAGACTAGCAGTATGCAGTCAAAATGTCGCGATGTACATCACATGTGACTACTTAGCTTTTATTGTTATTCACCACGATGAATAACCACAACCTTTTCTAAGAAGAATTTGTTTACCAATCAAGAGCTTCTTTAGTTTGTGATCATTTCCTTTATTCTCATGACCTTGATGTGTGAATCCCACATGATGTAATGAAAGGAGAATTTCGATGCTAATCCCTCTTAATGTCAAAGGGTCAATAACAATGGGAACACCTACATAATACGAAGGTCTCAAACGTCTCAAATTTCTTGAGATACTTATAAAACGCCTCTCATTAGCTGGGTACAAGGTCTGTACCATAAGTAATAGACCAATTGCAAAGCATGTGGGCCATAACTCTGAGTGAAAAAAACAAGGTTCTGTAACTTACAGCTTGGATTGTATAAGTTTCGTATTCTATTTCTGTGTTGTTGTACAAAAAGGTAACAATGTGGGAGAGAGTAGATCATTTTAATTGCATCCACTGGGGTTCAAGTTGCATACTTGTCATTTTAAAATACTATTAATATGATCATTTGATAATTATTGACATCATTATATATAAAACCTAAAAGCAGTAGCTTAAAAATACACTCACTGTGTATTCTCCCCCTGATAGATTGACGCAAATGTTGTCTGTGCTGTGTACATTACAAACAAACACATCCAAAAAATCCTCATCAGGGATTTGTACCCTCTCTGGAAAACAAACAAATGAACACCTCAAATGAGTTAAAAATCAATACTTTCCCCTTCATATGTTTAAAATACATAATCAATTTGAACATGATTGAATGCTTGTCTTCTTAAATGACAAAATACACAGATTATTGCAGAATTCTCAATAAGTCAGGGAGTAGATGGGTATGTGCATGGAATTGGTGGCTCACAATTTGAGAGCTTCTTCCAGGGGTCTCGGAACATGTTCCCCTACAAAATATTCTCACAGGGAGTGAAGGGGTACAATGGCACATACATGCAAACACCAAATGCATAAATGTTCAAAAAATAACAGTTTGACAATTATTTAATTGTTGCATTGACAGAATGGTATCCTAAGTTGGAAGGTGAAAAACAAAGTTTTCTATGGCTAAGTCTTCATTAGCAACATTCTGATACAAACCAGGAATTTTTTGTGACTCATCATCTTTTGACGAGAGTCTATGTCTCAGAAAAGGCCTTGCAAGAGCAATTGGTTTTCTTTCCTCAGAATCTCCACCTTCTTTTCTACCCCTGGGGAAAAAATTATTTTGTTAGAACTACATGTACTATTAATAACCATGGACTAGAAAAGTGCACTTGAAAGTTAATCAATAATGAAAACCCTAATCAGAAATTAACATTATAAATGAACCTGACAGAAAGACCTAACTTTACCAACAGATCAAAACCGATCACTCATGACCGACTTCTGCCACTTGAGTCTTACAGCCAATAACATCATGACAAAACTGACAAATCAGTTCATACAAACTAGACTTAGAACATTTACCTGACAACAACTATTCACCTGACTCTGATGATGACTGCTGCTCAGGTTGTTGAAATGTCACTTTTACCACACCTCTTCAAACTGATGATATTGCAATAGCCCTTGAGAGAATGGGCCATCTGGCACATAAGCTCACTATATATTGAATCTGGAAAAATAACAAACCTGGCACTGTCTGAAGTGGACACTGCGCTAGTTTGACCTGATGATGACTCTGAGGATGTTGTTGTTGTCACTGACACAAATGAATCTGTTGAAGAAGATGGAGTTACAGATGAGGTAGACACTGAGCTTTTTGTTGATGATGAGGTTGATGAACTGTCTGTATCCCTTTGCAACAATGCACAGCCTTCTTTTGCCAAAGTATCAGCAACACTGTTCCCCTTTGAATCCATGAGGTCAACATACAAATGGTGGCCTTATGAGAGAAAGAAATCAAATCAACCATTGTAAGTATAAGGGATAGATCTTGTTTTCCTCACTTAAAACTTTTAATTCATATGTGATAACATTCTTAAAATTAGAGAAATATGTTTTTTTTTCCATCTTGTCATAAGAGTGGGACAAAGAAAAAAAGATCTGAGTCTCCATGAGGAATCAAACCTCAGACCTTCAGATTCCGAGCTCTGATGCTCCATATCAAACACGTCCTGCATACTGCTAGGATCAGCAATGTCGATAGCGTAATGTTTGTAGATAGAATTGAGAGATGGTAAGCTTTGAGCTTGGTAAAGAAAAAGAGAAGGATGTTTTTTTCATCTTTGTCACAAGCATGGGACAAAGAAAAAAAATTCCAAGTCCCCATGAGCAATGCTCTAACCACTGAGCACTAACCATTAACTAACCACTAACCACAGAGACTCCACAGAGTGAGGTCTATTACAAAGTACATATGGCAGTAAAATTACTCACTAAGAAATTCAAAATATACAAATTTTGTATTCAATGTCTCAGATCTTTGCTTTGTTGAAATAAAGACCTCCAGTGATGATTACCAAGCAGTGTCAAGCCAAATGCCAACAAAGCAGGAAAATTAATTCTTTAAGTGACACTAACCAAAGCAACACATGTTATCAGCCCTCCCAGATGCAACCATTTTGGTTGACATGGCAAGAAGGAAAAAATTTCAGGCCACAAAATTTTCAGAGAAAGTCATAAAATGATAATTATAGTTTGCCCGTCAAATTCTTGAAACTAACTTACAAGAGAATGTTTAGCAATTAAAGAGGAAAATTAACAATCAGATCTTTAGAGGTAATACTCTTAAGATTCTTTTAAGTAATTTCTAGGAGGAAAAATAAATTTTCCATACCTTCCCCTCTGACAACTCTCATATGCAAAACTTCAGATGCAGAACAAAGCTCCTGAAATCTCTCTATTGAGGCCATGCTCCAGTTTTTTCCCTGTAAAATCAAAAATGTTTCACATAAACAAGATTTTTTTTAAGACCACACACTTTGAAATGCATTTTTGAATCAATTTTTTAAAATTTCTGTCACATAGCTTGAATGCAAAATTTTCACCACTTAACCCTTTCACTCCCAAGATCTCATCAGTAATTCTCCTTACTGTCTGCTATACAATTCATATGATATAAATTTGGAGAATTTGGTATTAGTTTAACAGATTATAGGATAATTGATACTTTTCCATATTCTCATCACTTTTCTGCTTGATATTGTATCAATACTGTGAGGAGAAATTCTGTATTGAGTCATTCATGGGAGGAAAAGGAATAAGTTCCTTTCTTACCCCACCAGTAGGGAGAGCTCCATCCAGTGCACATAACACAGCGATCATTGGCAGTTCTGCATGTTCTCTCCTCAGCATGCGAAGTCTTGATACTGGTAATATTTCATTGTTACCAAAGTCCACATAAATAACATGGGCCTGAGGGGTATCTCCTTGAGTTTTCATTTCTGTAATTCTTGCTCGATACCATGCATCATCCTCCGTGAATTGAGCGCAGCAAAACATTCCTTGTTTAAGTGAAGGTAAAGGATCCTTTCCATTGGAGGGATTCTGAGGAAAGTCATGATAGTCTTAAAATATCATCATCAAACCAAGAGCTAACACTCAAAACATCACCTTTAGGAACTCTTAATGGTGGCCAATTTAGACTGTCAACTCAGTTGTAAAACCAAATTACCTTGTAATACCCTCCACTGACACAGGATCACAGTTTCTTTAAAAAACTCACTCCCTACATTTATTGGTCTTCAAAATAGTTACCTACATTTCAATCCTTCAGTCAGGCTTATGGCAGGGCACAGGAAAAAATTGAACACTGAATACTGGTAGTAAAGTTGTTTGGGAAAATGAGGTTTAAGCAGGAATCATGTGGAATTGCATGACACCTTTGAAGAACCAGAACACTATTCTCATCATGATCAGCAGTAATATAAATTGTTTACACAGGTATTATGTGTAAACTGTCCACTTTTCCACTGTCCCATTAGTTCTCAAATTGGGTTGATTACAGTTTTGATTAACTTCATAATTTTGATCTTTCATTGTTTATGTTAAAAGTTGGAAGATTCTTATAATAAATGACACTTAATTTACCTGAAAAAATTCATTTAACTCGGCACTCAGAGCATCAAGTGAATCCCACGTGTGCTTGTAATGAACAAAGAAATGAGCTGGACTATCCACATGGGAAATAGAAACCTCAGTTGCAGTTCTGAAGCAAAATGAACAAACATTAAAAATAATCATAGTATTACTTTATGACTGAGTGGTAGGGACAGATGGAAAAATATTTGGCTCAAGGTTATGACATGAACCTAAATAATATGTCCTTATAAACAAAGAAGGATGCACTCTGGACAACTGTTTCATTTTAACTCACCCTTTTTCTGGAAGATCTTGCGGTCTCAGTGTATAAATTTCAATATGTTGTGGTGAACCTACACAAATTTCATAAAAAATCGCATTTCAGTTTGGATCAAAGAACAAACAGAAATTTAATACCAATGAAGGATTCAATCTATCTACTAGGAGATGCTAGTTTGATCACTGTCAAGTTCTCAGAACTTACATCATCAGAAATGTATGGCACAAGGTAAGGAGAATTCCTCTCAAGATCTTGGGAACAAAAGGATCAAAGGCACCCCTGGTTGATTAGTATTAAAACCTGCAAATAGGCTGCACCCATGTGTAGGCCACACCTCAGTTTTAAAATTAATTTTGGTGGAAAAAGATATTAAGTGAATTATGATTAGAAATCATGTAGCTGTCATAGAGAATACCATTAACCCTTTAACCCTCAGATCAAATTTGTAATTCTCCTTTCTGTCAATCATACAATTCTTATAATGTTAGTTCAGAGAATTTAGTGTTGGATCAACCAATTAACCCCAAATTAAATTTTTCTAAATTCTCATCACTCATCTAGTTGCTAATGTATTGATATTGTAAGGAGAAATTATATTTTGGCCACTCACGGGAGTTAAAGGGTTAAGAAAGAAAAGTTGTCAAATTTATAAAGTTAGCTCAGAATAAATCTAACAAAAGGCCACAGCAGCCTTCACTTGGGCTTCTCTCCATGATAGCGCTGTTGCTAAACAGAGTAATGCAGTAATGATCAACCCTTTACACCCTAACATCAGTATGCATATTCTCCATACTGTTCTTTATACATTTCCTATGGTACTGATAAGGAGAATTTGTTTAACAATCAAAGCTTCTCAGGTTGGTGATCATTTTCTTTATTCTCATGGCCTCAATGTTTGTTTTAGGGGTGATTCTTATAGGAGAAAATAGTTTGCTAATCACTCTTAGGGGTTTTTGGAAGCTTTTGGAGCAATCTCACCCATCTCTGTGGCCAACCTGAGGATAAATATCATACTGATGATGGATAAGAAGAGGACACATACAGTTCTTAATAAATTAATAAACCTTCAACCCCATAGACTGACTGGAATCTAATTTCTCATTACACTTTCACTGCTGAATCAAATATCACAGTTATGGGAATAAGGAAAACTATCACAAACTAAAGAAGATCCTGATTGTTAAACAAATTCTCTCAGTCAGCACCCTAAGAAATATACAGGGAGTAGTATTGAGAATGTGCATACTGATGTGAGGCTGTAAAGGGTTAAGTTTTACTAATATCTTACCTCCATTAGCCTGATGTGGTTGTGTGTGACTGACCTTTGGTTTTTCCTCCAGCTAAAAAGGAAGGGAGGGGTATTTTAGTCTAGCAGGGGACTATAATCCATGATACTTTTAGGAATCAAAGTTTATACATTATCATAGGATTCACAACAAAGGCATTATTTTTTTTTTATGCCTGATTTTCACTAATACAGTGTTCATTACTAGGAAGATCCCTTTCATATTTGCCTCTTTGTCTGCAGTTTACAGATAAGATTTTCATATATTTTCAGTCATTTATTCATCACTTCACAGGTTTATTTGAAACCAACATAGTGACCAGCTCCTAGTTGGTTTGTTAGCTCAGTTGGTGGAGAGGATAATTTTCTCTGTTCTTTTTAGAGCAAATTCTACAAAAAAAAAAATTATACTCAATTTTTCATCTAAACTTTCCAATCTAAAATCAGATTTCACACCAACCCAGGGTTATCTTAACCCAGCTTTGAACAACCCAGCCCTTGATTGAGATTTTTTATCAAGAATTCAACCTTGTTTATGCAATTTTGCTGAAATTCCTGTACATATTACACCAAAACTGCAGTAATTTAATTTTATAAACTCACCAGTTTAGGAGGATATACAATTATGTTATCTCCAGGAAACCTGGCGATAAATTACATTTAAAATCAAAGTCAGTGCAACTGGCCAACCAAAAAAATTGCATGAGTTCTTACAGAGAAATAATTGCATTAAGTTCTGACTCATATCTTTCAGAAGCAAAGAAATGAGACAGATTTCTCTTTCCACCTAAAACTAACATGTTCTAACCAGCCCTTTAACTCCAATGATCTCATTAGAAATTCTCCTTACTGTCTGCCAAATAATTCTCATTATGTTAGTTTGGAGAATTTGGTATCAGATCAATTAGTGATCCCATAATTAATATTTTTCTTTATTCTCATCACTTGTCTGCATGATATTGTATAGATATAGTAAGGAGAAATTCTGTCTCCATCACTCACAGAAGTTAAAGGGCTATTGCTATGATTCCCTTATTACTCAGTACTCCAAGCTATACGTGTCACACTGTAAATCAAGTGCTGGAGATGAGCGATTTACAATCTTGTCTTCTATCCTCTTGTCTTCTGTCCTCTTGTGTACCGTCCTCGACATCCCAAGTGGGCTATTACACCAGTAAACCAATAAAAAGTGAGGATCCATTGCCATTTTAAAATAACTATGTGTTTAGCGCTGCAATAAATGATAGGTTTTTGACCAATCAGGACACCCAATAGTTTCTCAGTTATTTTACAAAAATTGTAATTGCAATTAATACTTACACCTCCCATCTTGCTATGTGAGGTAGATGTTTCAGGTTTTCTAAAGTTTCACTGTGTAGTTCTTCATGGTATATATTCTTGTACTCTGCTGGAATTCTTGTCAGCCAGATCCCTTTTGGTTTTTGCTCCAACATCTGCAGTTTAAAACAGGGCAACCTGTGAGCAAACGGTGAGCCCTCCCTTTCTTTACCTCCCAAGATCTGATTGTTAATTCTCCCCTGTAGCTGCTACACATTTCCTTGTAAATTAGTTATGAGAATTTGGTGTTAAATCAGGATAACAACTTCTACCTGATAAGTTTGAGTATTCTCATTACCAGTTTACAGGAGAATGTATGGATATTGTAGGGAGAAGTTACATGTTAATCACTTCTAGCAGTTCAAGTGTTAAGCCTATGAGGGCTTTAACAGAAGCCAAAGGAACATGGCCATTTACTTTTGAGGTACAAGGAATTTCTTAATAATGTCATAACAAAATCAGGAGAGCTATTAAGTTTTTTAGTGAAAGTGGGAAAGTTAATTTTAAAGAATTGAGACAGATGTCCTTTAATAGTTTTGGATCAAGAGAGTTTCTGGAAACAAGAGAAGATAAACAAATGATAGAGACCTTGCTCAATTCCTTGTACAGAACAGGGAAAACCCCTTGTGAGGCATTTTGATTCAGGATTAGCATGAAGCAAATTCAAAATGGCACTAACCTTCTTAATTCTGGAATATATTTCCAATTCTGACAGGAGAGAATGATTGAGATATGCTTAAGTATCTTAAATACGTTCAAATTTATTTAACAGTGACATAAAATCTGAGCTTATATCAATATTGCTATATATAATTGATGATAGTGAGATTTTAATATTACCTTCTTTACTTAAAGAGTCAACTTGAGCACTGGAAGAGTTTGACACTTTGACTGTACGCTTAAAAGATTCATTTTGATTATCATGGCCACTCTCAAAAGTCACTTCCATTCCTCCCCAATTTGGTCCACTTCCTGCAGTGTAAAAAGGCAAGTCCTAACTCAGAAATAATCCATGTTTGTCACAGAAATGTTTCACACCTTGATTATATAAAAAAAAATAAAAAAATTGGTCATCACGCATTCAGAAAGCTGCTGGTTTTTTCCTAAATATGTCTTTAATATATCAATCTCATCAACAGGCATTGATTTTTAAGAAAACTGTATCAAGAGAAAAATGCTTCAGTTTTTACTCCCACTCTCGACCCAAGACAAATTTCTGAAGCAGAAGGTAATGAAAGAAAGGAATGTATCACCTATAAGGCACTTTACAATTAACCCTTTAACCCTTTCACTCCCAAGATCTAATTGGTAATTCTCCGTACTATCTTCCATACAATTCTTATGATGTTAGTTCAGAGAATTTGGTATTGGATCAACTAATCATCCCATGATTGACATTCTTCTCTATTCTCATCACTTGCCTGCTTGATATTGTATTGATATTGTAAGGAGAAATTCTGTCTTGGTCACTTGTGGGAGTGAAAGGGTTAACTCCCCAAGGTGATTAACTTGTAACTTCTCCCTATAATATCCATACATTATTCACAAAAGGGTAATGAGAATACTCAATATTATCAGATAGAAGTCGTTATCTTGGTCTAACACCAACTTCCCCTTACAAATTTACAAGGAAATGTGTAGAAGCTAGAGGGGAGAATTAACAATTAGATCTTGGGAGTTAAAGGGTTAAAAACCAACTTTGTGGATCTAAAACTATAAGACATATATGGCAAATATCTTTGAGAATTGAGGTTTAAATCTTAGGAATAAAACGATTAACTCAACAAACCTTGACTTTTTGCTTTCTTCTTCCAGTTTTTCCTGTGAGGGGGCTCCTCTAAAATATAGCATAGTAAAGGTGAAGCTATATGTTCATTAAAACTGTTATTTCCTTACAAAATGTAGATAGAACCAACACAAAACCTTCACATACAAAATTCGAACTTAATCCTTCTTTTTAATGCACATTATGGTTCTGCCATTGAAATATTTGGGGGCAAACTGGTAAAGGTATAGGTGGGGGCAAACATGTTTTACTACAGGGGGCAAATTTGCATACATGGTATGGGGGAAATTTGCAATAAACTATGAAATCCTATGAAAAAGCATCACATAGCTGACCAGTGTAGGACCACACAGGCTGATGTGAGCCTGTCCAAAAACAAGAATTCTCATTATGGACTTAAACTTGAAAGTGAACAAAAATGAGGAAATAA